CATGGGAAGGATGATGCTACAGATACCATCAAATAGGCATCTCATTTGTCTTGTTCTCAGTGTCTAGAACAAGAACAGCAGAGGAGATTTCTTACTTGCCATCCAGAATAGGAGGTAAATCCAGGAAAATATTTCTTTCCCTTAGCTACACCAATCTAAAACTCCTTGTTGATTAAGCTTTGAGAAAGGAACCTTATCAAAGCAGACAAATAAAAATTTCTTACCTTCCTGCCTGACATTATTCATGGATGAGTCCATGATTTCTAAATATCTATTAGTTGATGTTCATTTCTAAATATCTATCCTTCATTAATCATTCTAGTACTTTTCCTTCCACTAAAAAGTTAGTAAATATTTAATATTTCCAAATGTTCACTGTTTTTGTTCCTTAACCCACTGTAAAAAGAACTCTGCTCCATTTAGAAGATATTTGCAAATGTCATGTTCAATTAAGGGTCAGTATTCAAAATAAATAAAGGATTTATACAAGTCAACACCCAAGAAACAAATAATCTAGTTAAAAATGGACTGAAGACATGAACAGACATTTCTCCAAAGAAGACATACAGATGGCCAATAGATACATGAAAAGATGTTCAACATCACTTGTCATCAGGGAAATGCAAACTGAAACAACACTGAGATATCACCTAATACCTTTCAGAATGGCTAAAATGAAAATGCTAGAAACAAGTGTTGGTGAGGATATGGAGAAAAAGGAACTCTTTATTTTTTTTTTTTAAGATTTTATTTATTTATTTGACAGAGAGAGATCACAAGCAGGCAGAGAGGCAGGCAGAGAGAGAGGAGGAAGCAGGCTCCCCACTGAGCAGAGAGCCCGAAGTGGGGCTCGATCCCAGGACTCGGAGATCATGACCTGAGCCGAAGGCAGAGGCTTCAACCCACTGAGCCACCCAGGCGCCCCGAAAAAGGAACTCTTATTCACAGTTGGGAAGAATGCAAACTGGTGCAGCCACTCCAGAAAAGAATATGGAGTTTCCTCAAAAATTTAAAAATAAAACTACCCTCTGATCCAGTAATTTCACTACTGGATTTACCCCAAAATTTACAAAACAGTAATTTACCGCCCAAAATACAAAAAACAGTAATTCAAAAAGAAACATGCATCCCTATGTTTATAGAATTATTAATTATAATAACCAAATTACAAAACATTCCAACTGTACATCAATAAATGAATGAATAAAGAAGATGTGAGATATATATATATATATTCAACATATATATTCAATATTTATATTATATCAATATAAATATTGAATATTATTCAGCCATAAAAGAATAAACTCTTGTCATTTACAATGACGATATAGCTATAGAGTATAATGCTAAAAGAAATAAGTCAAAGAAAGACAAATACCATATGATTTCATTCATACATGGAATTTAAGAAACAAAACAAAGGAAAAAAAAAACAAACAAAGAAACAGACTCTGAACTACAGAGAACAAACCAATGGTTACCTTTATAACTTGTCCTGATGAGCACTGGGTGATTTGTGGAAGTGTTGAATCACTATATTGTACACTTAAAATTAACATAACATTGTATGCTAAATATACTGTAATTAAAATGAAACAAAATAGAAGAAAATATGAATTCTAGTGGAAAAGAGGTCTCTAATATAAAAGGAGATTCTAGGGGCACCTGGGTGGTTCAGTAGGTTAAGTGTCAGACTCTTGTTTTTGGCTCAGGGTCGTGGAATCAAGCCTCACATCAGGCTCTACACTCAGTGGGGAGTGTGCTTGGGACTCTCTCTCCCCCTCTACCTCTGCTCCTCTCCCCTACTCTCTTTCTCTCTCTCTCTCTCTCTAAAATAAATAAATAAATATTTAAAAAAAGAAAGATTCTAAATTTTAAAAAAAAAGAATTTTACTCAACTTATTTACTAAAATTTTTCTTCATGGTCACCAATTACCTACAATTTAAGGAATTCAATTAGTGTATTTTATTGTTTATCTTACTTTTACTCTGAAATATTTGACATTCCATCATATCCTCTTTCTTGAAAAGTTCTCCCTTTAGCTTCCTCTTCAGTACTTTCTTATTGCCTGTAACTTCTCAGGTAGTCCTTTTTCTTTTTTCCTTTATGAGTTCTTTTTTCTCTATTTGCCTATAGTTTATTATTATGTTTATCTTTCACTTTACAAATAATCCTTGGACAAATTTACAGAATCACATATGTAAGTTGATTTTAAAACTCAGTTCTGGGGGTGCCTGGGTGCCCCAGTAGGTTAAGCCTCTGCCTTTGGCTCAGGTCATGATCTCAGGATCCTGGGATGGAGCCCCACATCAGGCTCTCTGCTCAGCAGGGAGCCCGCTTCCTCCACCCTCTCTCTGCCTGTCTCTCTGCCTACTTGTGATCTCCATCTGTCAAAGAAATAAATAAAATCTTTTAAAAAATAAAACTCAGTTCTGAAGATGAGAGAAGTAGAGAATAAAGGGCAAAAGAGATACTGCTTGTATATAAAAATCATTCTGTTCCTTTTTAGCTCTATAACTTTGAACAAATCAATTTTTCAATGCCTTAATTCCTCGTCTATAAAATGGTGATAATTGCATTGTCTTTCTTTTGGGACTGTTGTGAGAGTTAACTGATTTAACACATATAAAGTTCCTGACACATAAGAAACCTGCATTACATATCACTTATTGTTAATAGCAGATGTTCTCATTTATTACTAAAAATCTATGACAGAAATTTTATTAAATCTATAAATTCCACAAAGTTTTATGTGATTTTATAACTACTTTTTGTACATTTCCATAGACTATAAATCCTTAACAACAATGCTTTTATTTTTATTTTCTTTGGATTACCAACAACCACTTGAATTTTCAAGGAAATTTACAAGTTGGGAAGTGAAAGTATTAATAGAGATCATTATGATGATCACATAACTCAATTAGATCAAAATTAGAGTGTAACGACTCACACTGTATCCTTTTCCCTCAAATTGTAAATATTAGTTGAATGTTTCTCAGCATTTAAACCTTAGTTCCTATTGCCTCTCACCAGCATTCTGATCTCCACATTGACTGGGACCCAGGTCAACGTTCCCAAACTCTATCCTACTCACTGTAAGTCAGATGAAAGGAGATACAGACCCAAAGTCAGATACAGAAATCCTGGGTAGGGCTATTGGAATAGTCTATGATGCTTTTTTGATTCCTTTATCACATATTCCTCTCTCTTCCTGATGCATGCACATGTGCACACACACACACGCACAGGCATGCACATGTTTTAAATCTTTTTTTGTGCCACTTTCATGGACACCAAAATTGCTACCTATCCCTCTAGACTTGATTACTTCTCTCTTTTGTCAGTGATTTCTTTGCTATTATGAGAACGTTCTCAGTATTATCTTTTTTATAACTGAGAATAGAATAATGCAAAATTGACTTAATCTGCAGCACAAAGTTTACATTTTATTGTAAAAAAAAGTTCTTGACAGGATTGCTAAACACTAAAATTGCTGAACAATAGTAGTTACTTCGCTGTCTTTGAAAAATAAGACAGTCTCTCATCTCTCTGGAAGAGATTGTTTTCCATCTTGTCTTGAAAGAGAATGAGACTTCAAATACTGGTTTTCAAATCCATGCTGTTCAGACATATATTTAAAAATCTTCAGAAATCTTTTTAAATTGTAGATTCTGTTAAAGCCTAATTGTCAAAATTGACAACAATTATAAAGTTAGTACTTTCTATAAAAATGTGTTCTAAAAATTCTTGGCTAATACAATACCTACTCTTTCATTTACGTCACATTAGGCACTGTATTTTCTATAATACATTTTATATCGCATTTCCTATCAGTGGTATATACTACTTTTCAATGTACTACTTAAAGACATTATCATGGGAACCAGTGTAAGAAAAATCCTTTGTAAAATAATTGTGTGATGATATTAGAGCAATTGCAGTTATTTTTGAAGACATTAAGCTAAGCAATTATTTTCACTAACTCTGATGTTGCCAAATATTGTCCCCACTGCTTTATGGGAAATACTGAAAGTTTGTGATGCATTGTTAGTTCAATGAACTTACACATCATTTGTGGAGATAAAATTTGTAAAGTTAGAACTTCAAGATAAAAATGCAAACATATATCATGTTATACACTGTGTGCTCTAAAAAGAGAGAAAAATGAATATCAGAAAGAGAAAGACTTTTGTAAGAATACAAATATGAGCTTAGTTTCAAGAATAGAATTTTTAAAAATGCAAACACACACACGCACACACACACAAGCTTCTTCAAAACAAATTTAAATATATAAAGATACTTCCACTTAAAAATATGCTATCCTCGGGGCGCCTGGGTGGCTCAGTGGGTTAAGCCGCTGCCTTCGGCTCAGGTCATGATCTTGGAGTCCTGGGATCGAGTCCCGCATCGGGCTCTCTGCTCAGCAGGGAGCCTGCTTCCTCCTGTCTCTCTGCCTGCCTCTGCCTGTTTGTGATCTCTGTCTGTCAAATAAATAAATAAAATCTAAAAAAAAAAAATATATATACTATCCTATTTTGATACCAGATATATATGAGTTCAAGTGTAAAATCCAACACAATCTAACCCTTTGCCTTGGGCAAGTCATTTCATCTCCTTGTGCTTCAAAACCTGCGAACTATCCATATAAGAATGTATAGTGAGGATTAAAATTAAGATAATGTATTTAAACAATTGGAGCTATCATGTTTTTCTATTGCTCCTCATAGAACCAATTATTTTAGCATAGAGAAAACACACAGTAAATATGTTGTTAGTAAATATGATACAAATGAAAATTTTCTATCTTACCCTGAAAATTGATAGTCTGTTATTTTAACCTTGTATGAATTGTAAAGTATTCAAAGTAGGAAGAGAAAAATCATGTACCAAGTATGTTATTTTTAGAGATAATGGCTTCTTAACGTTAATATAATAAATGATTTCTTTTCAATAACATTGCTTTTAAAATAACTTAGTTCTTTTGTTACAGGAGATAACTGCAAGGCCACTGAATACAGCAAGATGAAAAATATGCTTTTAGATTTACAAAATCAAAAATATATTACACAAGAAAATGAAAACCCTAACGGTGATGACATATCTTGGAAGAAGTTGTTGGTGGATCGAATGTTTAAATATTTTGATGCTGACAGTAATGGACTTGTAGATATTAATGAACTAACTCAGGTATGATTCATGATTGAATTAACAAGTTTATTTAAATGTATCATGTATAATATTTTTACATCTGTGTGAATTTATTCTGTATTAATAAAATGTATGTTTAATCTGTATTATTTGAGAGTGTGGACAAAACATACTTTTAAGGGCAACATTTGATTACTGTTAAATAACAAAGATTCAACTGAGTAAATTTGAAAGATTTAATTGGCTTTATTAAACAAAATTGAATTGGGCAACATCCCATTTGGCAAATAGAGGGGTGCTGGGGCATTTGTACAAGATGGAAAGTTTTTGTAGAAGGAGAGTGGGGCAGGAAAATTATTATCAAAAGAGAAAGGTTGTTCTAGATAAGGCCAGTTTTCCTTAGGGGAAAAGCATGGGCTATTATCATGTAGATTACATCATCTTCTTTTGGGGGCTTGAAAGGGCCCAGGTGGTAGACTCATTGGTGCTAATTGAAAAAATTCATGATGGACTATTAAGACTACATTTCTGGAAGAGGTTGAACTACAATTAGTTTATTAGCTTATTATAATTTAGTTTATTAAGACATGGCCTAAGTGATGCCATTTTAAGATTTTTTGTTTGTTCGGTTGGTTTTTGGGTTTTGGTATTGTTTTTCTTTCAACACTAATCTATCAGCAATAAAATTTCAAGTAACATTTATATGATATTTTGTAGTTTAAAAATCAGTAACTACTTTTGATAGGTTTCTATACCTTAAATACCTAAAGGAATCACTAGTTCTTTATCTTACAAAATGTGTAAGAGATCTTCAGATCTACTCTGGAGCTTTTGTAATGTTTGTCTATTAGTCAATGAGAACTTGTGTACCCAATCTTTAGGGGAATTATTCATCAGCAATTAAGCACATCTATAACATAATGTAAGTAAATCATTTAGGAAGTTACTAAATTACTTTGTTTCAATAACCAAAGATTAATTAGGATACAGTCAATTTAGGTCAAATATTTAGTCCACCTTATTAAATTTCATTTATTTGAAAATTGTCATCAAAATGAAAGATGTAATGAGAAACCAATTACTAAAAAGACTATTTGAATAAACAAAGGTCTATTTAGATCATTTTGGAAAAACAGAAATGCTTTTATGTGTGTGTCATGGAGAAAAACTAGTTTGAAGGAAAATGTTAACACAGATTCAAGAAACTAAACTAGTTTAGAAAGTAGTAGAAATGTAGAATAGGAGACACAAGACTTCTTCAAAAATTATACAGGTTTTAGGGAGTAATGAAGAAAAGAAGCCAGTCTAGGGTGAACAATCTAGGAAAATGGTGATAGCACTGAGGAATTTTGCTGACTTCTTGATAATCCCTATAGTGACAATGTTGAGGTGAATTTTGCTGTAGTACTTAGCAGTTAATATAGTTATTAAAAAAAAATCCAGTAGTCTATAATGTCATGTCATTCATCTCTTACGGTTAATTTCATGGTTTATTTTAAAAATCTGACATTGTGGAATATTGGTTTTATCCTGCAAAGATTTCTAAGATTTGGAATAGTGTAACTTAGTTTAGAACTTTATATCAAAGTAACCGTAAGTAAATTGATTACAGTTCTTGTCATTCTAGTTAATTAAAATATATATCATTTTCATTATCTCCTTTAATCCAGACTGCATTTATTGACTAGTTACTAAATCCAGGCATTGGGATTTAAAGAATCAAAATCTGGAATTTTAGGTAAAATTAATTAAATAAAATAAATTTTAAAATTAAATAAAAGTAAAATTAATTAAATTTTATAATTAAAATACCTATGTTATCATTTCCCTCATGATTTATTTTTCAAGAAATAAACTGTAGAATTTTATATTTACAGTAATGATAAGAAATTACTAGTTAATTAAAATGAATTTATAATTGAGGCATATCACCTTGATCTACATAGACTTGACATATTAGAATAGATTGTGCTTTTTGCTTTTGTTTTTATTTTATATATTCTATATGTAATATAATATATGTATTATGTATGTAATACATATATTATTTCTATATATATTGATATATATTTCTATAGATATATATATTCTATATATATATCTATAGAAATATATATATATTTCTATAGATATAGATATATATATATATATTCTATATATATTTCTACACCACTGTAACCATTGATTAGTTACAAAACATGCTTTGACCAAATCCAGTTATTATCATAGTAGCTCCATCTAAATCCAAATGGAAAACTTCTCCTCACTAGAAAATGGCCGTGCCAACACTTCAATTATACCTGTTTCAAGTTTCTGCCACACCAAGTTTGTATTTATTTCCTAGGGCAGCCTTAACAAAATAATGCAAAGTGGGTTTCTAAATCAACCTTTCTCTCCATTTAGCATCTAAAATCAAAGAGTTGGCTATACCATGCTATCTCTGAAATATCTGGAAGAAGATTCTTGCTTGTCTCTTTCAGTTTCTGGCAGTGTTAGGCATTCCTTGGCATTCATTGGCTTGTAGTAACATCCTTCTGCTTCCATAGTCACATAGCATCCTCTCTGTGTGCCTGTCTTCCCAACACCTTGCCTTTTCTAAAGAACACCAGTCATATTGGATTAAGGAGCCACCCTACTCCAGTATGACCTCATTTCAGGTTATCTAATTACATATTTAACAGCCCTATTTCCAAAAATATATTACATTCTGAGGCACCAGGATTAAGACTTCAAAATATCTTTTAAGAAGATACAACTCAACCTATAATAAAGTTCATCTGCTACAAAATTAATTTTGTTTTCTCTGTTCCCTTGCTCTGGATTTGCTGTATATCTGAAAAGTACTCTTCCAATTCATCTGAAAGTTATCCTCAGAAACTTTATATTCAGAAACTTCAGAAATTCTTTTATATCTTGGATCTACATGAGGTAAATGCAAGGAAAGTTCTGGGAGGTTTACTAACATCCTTCTGAATACATCCCATACCACATTAAGTCATTTCCACTTTCAGCAGTGTATTGTGAAAATATCAGTACCTCATCTGTAAGTAATCAACTATGAAATAAAAAAAGGAGAACAACAACAACAGAAGGTTATAACAAACATGCTTGAAAAAATGGAGTGATGGATGCCTGGGTGGCTCAGTTGGTTAAGCAACTGCCTTAGGCTCAGGATATGATCCTGGAGTACCAGGATCAAGTCCTGCATTGGGCTCCCCGCTCCACAGGGAGTCTGCTTCTCCCTCTGACCTTCTCCTCTTTCATGCTCTCTCTCTCTCAAATAAATGAATAAAATCTTAAAAAAAAAAAAAAAAGAAAAGATAGAATGAATACCTAGATACGTATAGCACAAGTATTGTTTTTGACTTGTGTCTTTTGGGGTTACAGTTACTCTTTAAGAACTTTTTGCTAAATATTATAACCAATAATACATATGGCTTTATTAATAAACTTAGAAACATATAATGTCATAATTTAAAATGGAATTTTGAAATAATTTAACTTAGAAGGATAAAAAGGGAAAGGATCTTAATGGTGTCTTTTAATAATTTACAAGCTATTATTAGTAGAAATATAATACATAGCTCTAAGAAACTGCCAGTGACAAGGAAAAATTAAAGAATATAATTTGGCTTTGAGGTTTTACAATTGCAGCATGAGAGCTGGCTGCATACATTCTATTTTTATTCCACATAATGAATATATATTCTAGAATTTTTCTTGCAGATTTTCAAGTAAATTAGAACCTACAGGCCTTTCTAGTTGAGAGTGAAAATGAATAAAAAATGTAGTAGATAGGGGCACCTGGGTGGCTCAGTGGGTTAAAGCCTCTGCCTTCAGCTCGGGTCATGATCCCAGGGTCCCGGGATTGAGCCCCGCATCTGGGATCGAGCCCTGCATCGGGCTCTCTGCTTGGCAGGGAGCTTGCTTCTCCTCCTCCCCTCTCTCTGCCTGCCTCTCTGCCTATTTGTGATCTCTGTCTGTCAAATAAATAAATAAAATCTTTAAAAAAAAAATGTAGTAGATAAAAGGAATAGGATCCTTAGTATCACAGCTAACAATTTGTCACAGCAAGAAAATATTTACTAAAATAAACTGACCACTTATAGAAATAAATCTTGTTCAATACATCTCTTCAACACTCAACCTTAACATAATCTGTAACTGCACATTTCATCCTTCAGTCTAAGGTCCATTTTGTATGTTGAAAATACCCAATTATAAGATATAAATTTATAGCAAAGTGAAGTTTTAGATTTTCAAAAGAATTGTGTTTTACTAAGTTAATATATTCAGTGATAGTGCTCTGGTAGATTTGCCATTGGTAACAGAGGATCTGGAAGAGTTAAAAAAGGTAATAACAGAAGAAAAGAAATCAAGAAAGATTAAGATGTATGCATTTCAAAAGACCAAAAGAGAATGTTACAAATGGAAGGGCATGAGTGGTTCTAAATTGATAAAGTCCTAGAATTTTTTTTTTCAAAATAATCTTTTTTTTATGACCAAAGTGTAGTAGATAAGAACTTTGTTTTATAGAGCCTGGGTTCAAATTGCATCTTTACTACTTACTACCTCTGAACCTTTGGCCAGTTACTTAAACTTTCTGTGACTCAGTTTTCCTTTCTATATATTGACAATAATACTAGTCCTGACTGTGTAAATTTAATATAATATTTATATCATTTACAATATATATGTTTCTTAGGAACATGATTAGCACACAGAAAATACAGTGTGTTAGCTATAATTATATTTTCAAAGCTAACTTTCATGTGATGACACAGATGATAATGTAAGTAAAGAGAACACATATACTTAAGTTATTGAATGAGTGATTGAATAATATTTCCATTATGATCATCCCCCTTTGCATTTTTTTTAATGCTTACACTTGGATGATAGGTGATAACAACTTAAATACCATTAGGTCACAGCCATTATGACACAGAAATCTACATACACATTATTAAACATACAAAAATTTTAATACCAACTTTTATAATGAAAATAAAAATGGTCTGGGGTACCTGGTGGCTCAG